GTCTTGCGTTCTGTTGTTGTTGTTGTTGTTGTTTTTGACACGGTATCTTGCTCTGTTGCCAGGCTGGAGTGCAGTGGTGCGATCTCAGCTCACTGCAACCTCTGCCCCCCCGGGTTCAAGCGATTCTCCTGCCTCAGCTTCCTTAGTAGCTGGGACTACAGGCACGCGCCACCATGCCCAGCTAATTTTTTGTATTTTTAGTAGAGACGGGGTTTCACCATGTTGACCAGGATGGTCTCAATCTCTTAACCTCATGATCCACCCTCCTTAGCCACCCAAAGTGCTGGGATTACAGGCATGAGCCACCATGCCCAGTGAGTTTTTAGGAGAAAAAACGTTTGCCTTGGGTGTGCATTGATTCAGGTGCTATCCTGTGCTGAATCTTGTTTTTTGTTTATTTTTTATTTTTTTATTTTATTTTTTGAGACGGAGTCTCTCTCTTGTTGCTCAGGCTGGAGTGCAGTGGTGCGATCTCAGCTCACTGAAACCTCTGCCTCCCAGGTTCACATAATTCTCCTGCCTCAGCCTCCGGAGTAGCTGCGATTACAGGCACACACCACCACACCTGGCTAATTTTTTTTTTTTTTTTTTTTTTGTATTTTTAGTAGAGATGGGGTTTCACTATGTTGGCCAGGCTGGTCTCAAGCTCCTGACCTCATGATCCACCCGGCTCAGCCTCCCAAAGTGCTAGGCTTACAGGCATGAGCCACCGCACCCAGCCTGAATCTTTGTATTGAATTTTTATCCATGAAACTGGATTTTACAACTGGATTTGGAGATTTGTAACACAGAAAACTGTCGGTTTACTTTTTCACATGCAGGCTTTAAACGTAAATCCTCGTGCTCGTCTAATTCTCTGCTAAATCAACAAACCGCTGGAATACTTTAGTAAGATCCTGTCTGCATTCTGCTCCCCTCCTTACCAACTGTGAACAGCTTCCCCCATTTTCCCAGATTCCGTCTCTCTTCTTCCTCCTCTGTGACAAGTTACTCTGTTTCTGCATCACTTCCCCTGGGGGATGTGTTTCTCTCCTGCTTCCCCTGCGGGTTTCTCATGACGAGAAGTGATTTCAGAGTTTTCTGGCTATTTCCCAGGCCACACCAATGATAGAGGCAAAGGTACAAAGGGCAGGTGATACTGTCTTGGGTCTAAGCACAAGATGAGGAGTCTCATGCCCAACCTCAGGTTTGCCCCTTTGGTGTTGGTCCTGACACCATCTGGGACCCTACATGTCCCTGCTGGGAACCTGGCATAGTCCTAGAAGGAGCCCATCAAGTCACCTTTCTTGACTTCTCTTCTGGACCCTGCTCAGCATGGGGATGATAAAAATATGGCCTGATAGCAAAAATGTTCTCTCATTTTTAAAATATGTATCCAAAAAAAAAAATGTATCCCATATTGTTTCTCTTTCCCTGTGGTCTGCGGGGTTTGCCTCTCTTAGATCAGTTTAGCTGCAGCAAAGCCAAAAGTAGCACAATTAGCAATTTTATCATCAGTGAAACCACAGAAGAAACAGGGAAACCTCCTGAGGAACCATCCTTTGAAGCTGTGTGTGGGATCGGTGTTGGCGTCAGCTGTTAGGTTGAGGTTGGTAAAGAGCAGTTACCATTTGGGTTGGCAAGAACCGGCTTTGGCACAATCCTTTGCCACATGTAAGAACCACGACATGAAGGTGGACAGCAGACGCTGGGAAGCTTGGCCCCAGACACTATCCAGTGCAGTCTACCAAGGGGTTGCACAGGCGGCTCTCAGCTTTGGGTGCAGGGGCAGCGCCGGTGTGGGATGGGGTGGCTAGATGTGGGTGCAGCGCACAGCAGGGCCGAGTCCACGCCTTCCGATGTAACCAGCGGGGTGGGAGCCCAGCAATTAAGTACCTGTCCTCCTGCAGTGACCTTAGCCATCCCTGAGCTAGGCGAATCTGGGTTTTTGTTTTTAATACTTACATACATTAATTCTGACTATTTGTAGTATTCGCTACCTATTCTATTAATACAACCTCTTACAATTATAAAAAAAAAATTTTTTTTTTCCTAAGATGAGTCTGGCCCTGTCACCCAGGCTGGAGTGCAGTGGTACAATCTTGGCTCACTGCAACCTCAGCCTCCTAGGTTCAAGCGATTTTTTCGCCTCAGCCTCCCAAGAAGCTGGGATTACAGGTGTGTGCCACCATACCCAACTAATTATTTTTTATTTTATTTTTTTTTTGAGACAGAGTCTGGCTCTGTGACCCAGGCTGGAGTACAGTGGTGCAATCTTGTCTCGCCACAACCTCTGCCTCTGAGGTTCAAGGGATTCTCCTGCTTCAGCCTCCCAACTAGCTGGGACTACAGGCACAGCCACCATGCCCAGCTAATTTTTGTATTTTTAGTAGAGACAGGATTTCACCATGTTGGCCAGGCTCGTCTCAAACTCCTGACCTCAGGTGAGCTGCCCACCTCAACCTCCCAAAGTGCTGGGATTACAGGTGTGAGCCAATGCACCCAGCCAAAATGTTTAATAGTACTTTTTTTTTTTTTGAGGCAGTATCTCATTCTGTTGCCCTCACTGGAGTTGAGTGGTGCTATCATAGCTCACTGCAGCCTCAAACTCCTGGACCTGAGAGATTCTCCCACCTCAGCCTCCCAAGTAGTTGGGACTACAGGCTTGCACCACCACTCCCAGTAATCTTTTTAGTTTTATTTTGTAAAGACAGAGTCTTGTTATGTGGCTCAGGCTGGTCTTGAACTCCTGGCTTCAAGTGATCCCCCAACCTCAGCCTCCCAAAGTGCTGGGATTACAGCCGTAAGCCACCCTGCCCAACCTAATAGTACTTCAGCTGAATAACTTTGTGCTGATTTGTATGTATAAAATGGTCAACAACGTTGCAAAGACTGCAGGTTTATTTTAGAGCAAAGTGTTAGCTAACCCCTTTAGATTTTTTTTTTTTTTTAGATGGAATTGCGCTCTTGTTACCCAGGCTAGAGTGCAGTGGCGCAATCTCGGCTCACTGCAACCTCCACCTCCTGGGTTCAAGCAATTCTCCTGCCTCAGCCTCCCGAGTAGCTGGGACTACAGGCACACGCCACCATGCCCAGCTAATTTTCGTATTTTTATTAGAGACAGGGTTTCACCATGTTGACCAGGATGGTCTCGATCTCTTGACCTCATGATCCACCTGCCTCGGGCTCCCAAAGTGCTGGGATTATAGACGTAAGCCACTGTGCCTGTCCCCCTTTAAATTTTTTTAACAAACAAAAGTGCATTTGTATTATATACATATATTTATTTATTTTTCTTTTTTACATATTTTTTAACCTTTTTTTAGTAAATTCTCTCAGATCCTTATCTTATTATAGATATTTTAAAGTTATCACTATAAAAGTATGTATAATAAAAAGTGAAATTCCCACTCCGATCTCCCGTGTCTCCATATAGAAGTTGGAAACCACTGTTTCTTTCCAGAACTTTTGCCATAGATTCACAGACATGGCAGGAGTGTGGAAGGGGGGATGCTTTATTTTTCAAACATAAATCACCTCATGCTCTGTGTCTGTCATACAGCTAGCCTGCGTTACTCATTGAATCTGGGGCCTCTTTCCTTATCACTACATATAGACCTGCCTAATTCTTAAGACTGTCTACAGTAATTATTTCACGTTCTCATAATGACGCATATATTAGTTGTTCTACAAATTCTTACTGTTAAAAATAATGCTGTGGTGAGTATTCTTGCATATGTACCTGTGGGTTCATGTATGAGCATGAGTGTTTAAGCTGTGCACATATGAATGTATGTGAATGTGCCTGTTGTCAACCATTGATAGCAGATGGATAAAATTCAGTGATGAGTGCTGGAGACATCAGTGCTATGAAAAGATGACAATCTCAAACCATGTGCACTTCCACCCTTAGACTGGCTGATGTTATTAGTTAGTGTGCATTATGGGATTTGAATGAAAAGTTTCTCTGCACTGTGATTTCATAAGTTGACGGTTCAAAGAGTCAAGTGTGGAGGTCAGTGGTCTTTTAAAAAACTCTTATTCCTTTGGCCAGGCATGGTGGCTCATGCCTGTAATCCCAGCACTTTGGGAGGTCAAAGCAGGAATGTCCTTTGAGGATAGGAGTTTGAGACCAGCCTGGGCAACATCACAAGGCCTCATCTCTTAAATAAATAAATAAATAAACAAAATCAAACAACAACAAAAATCCTTTTATTTCTCAAACGATTTCAAAGAAGTTCTGTGTATGTGGCCAGGACCCATGTCCGTTTAAAGTAGGGCTGCTGGCTGCTGGCGAACTAGGAGAGGCCTCAGTCGCGGGAGCCAGGCAGCGTCCAGATGGCAGCTTTCTGCCCCAGATGGGTTGGGCTGGGATGGGCATCAGGACGGAAGACAGCTGACTCTTTTCTCAGCTATAGTTGCGCATGCAGCCATTTAGATATGGAAATAATATGTAAATGGCTTTCATCTCAACTTAATATGCTGTTTGTGCCCAGTTGATTGTTTGTTTATTTATTTATTTTTGAGATGGAGTCTTGCTCTTTTGCCCAGGCTAGAGTGCAGTGGTGCAATCTCAGCTCACCGAAACCTCCACCTCCCAGTTTCAAGCAATTCTCCTGCCCCAGCCTCCCAAATAGATGGGACTACAGGCACGTACTGCCACACCTGGCTGATTTTTATATTTTTAGTAAAGACAGGGTTTCACCATGTTGGCCAGGCTGGTCTTGAACTCCTGCCCTCAGGTAATCCTCCCACCTCGGCCTCCCAAAGTGCTGGGATTACATGCCTGGCCCCCAGTTGGTAAAATTTTAATAATTAGCTTACTAATTAGTTTAAGCACATATTCACAAGATACAGGCTTTCTACACCAAAAAGTATAGCATGTTTTTTTGGTTCAGAGTTTTATTCACTACAAAATCCAGGTGATTCATTCTCGATTTGGGGAATGGGAAGTACACTGCTCTGAGGCCTGATCGTCAGAAATTTCCAGTAACAACACTGCTTCTCATTTTCCTTCCCAGTGCTCGGCCTGGTTCTCCCCATGTGGGCCATAGCCCTGATTTCCTCTGGTGTCGCTCTCCTGTTCGCCTTTTTTGTGTGGCTCTTCGTGTGTCCGTGGATGCGGAGGAAAATAACAGGTATGGGGTTTTTGATTCTTCTGATTTACAGAAATGCTCCTGATTCCTGAAATCTCACATATAACGCGCCACGATCCTTACTAACGGAGAAGATGGAAGTGTGGGTGACTCCAGAACATACCACATCTTGTGTCTCTCGGCTCCTGAGCGCTTTGTGGCTCGGACGTTTTCTTGATAACTTGTAACCCAGGTGGGCAGGAAGGTCCCAGCTGCCAGGAGTAACTGGAAGTTAACCGTGGAGTTCAGTTCTGCCAGCCTGTGGGAAAACATTAGCCTTCATGGAAATGCAAACTAACACCACAAGGAGGTTTTGTTTCTCACCCACAAGAATGGCTAAGAGTAAAAGGTTCTAGTAATTCCAAATGTGGGTGAAGAAGTGAAATAATTGGAACTCTCCTAGGTTTATGCTGAAATGTAAAATGATGCAACCACTTTGAAAGTTAGGTTTACAGTTTCTTTATAAAGTTAACCTTATACTTACCATGTGGGCCAGTAATTTTATTCCTAGCTATTTATCCAAAGAAATGAAAACATGCATTCATAAAAAGACTTGTGGCCGGGCGCGGTGGCTCAAGCTTGTAATCCCAGCACTTTGGGAGGCCGAGGCGGGTGGATCACAAGGTCGAGAGATCGAGACCATCCTGGTCAACATGGTGAAACCCCATCTCTACTAAAAATACAAAAAATTAGCTGGGCATGGTGGCACGTGCCTGTAATCCCAGCTACTCAGGAGGCTGAGGCAGGAGAATTGCCTGAACCCAGGAGGCAGAGGTTGCGGTGAGCCGAGATCGTGCCATTGCACTCCAGCCTGGGTAACAAGAGCGAAACTCCGTCTCAAAAAAAAAAAAAAAAAAAAAGACTTGTATACAAATCTTTTCATCATAATAGCCCAAACAGGCAAATGGGTAACCAAACTGAGTAAATGCATGTGCTGGACCACTACGCAGCAATAGAGAATGAACTGCTGGAGACCTGACAGCTTAAGGCATCCCACAGCTGTGATACTGAGCAGAAGCCGGTGATCCAGAAGGGCACCTATCCTGCACACTGGCATTTTTCATAATATTTTCATACATTTTCATTTAAAAGTTGTATGGATCTTTCTACTAAATTTAAGAATAGGAAAAATTCATCTGTAGCAACAGAGAGCGCTGATCACCTAGAAAGGGTGGGGGTTGGAAAAGGCAGCTCGGGAACTTATCAGGGACATGAAATTATTTTCATCAGCGAAGGGGCTTTAGGGTCTGACCACTTGCCACAGGTCATCACCTATGTGCTTAAAATGTGTGCATTTTGTTATATGTGTATATATAACCTATAATAATAATTGTATTATTATAGTACCATAATAATGATACTATGGTATAATACAATTTTTATACAAAAACTGTTTAGTACTATCATAATTGTACTAATATGTTATAGTAATCATAACATAAATTACATGTAATGAAACAAAATGAAAATAAAACCAATTTTATTAAAAGGAAAATGATTTTTAAAGAGAAGAATATGGCTTAGGAAGTCAGCCAGGGCTGTTTTCCTATTCCCAGGAACATATTTGAATTCCAAGCCTTGAAGTCACATGCTTTTTACAGGGCTCTCAAAAAAACAGATATTTACATTTGGTCTCAGCATGTACCATAGGGTCACGTTTTAGTATGGATGGATCTGGATTTTATGTTTTGAAGAAGACCAAAATACGTGAGGAGACAGAGCGTGCTCCTAAATTGGAAGACAGTATAGTAGAGATGCCAGTTCTTCTCGGATTCATCTCTAGACTTCAGACAATGTAAATAGAAATTCCAGCAGGATATTTTGTAGATTTAGACAACCCACTTTTAAAGTTCACGTAGAATATCAAAGGAGCTAGATGAGCTGGAATAATTTTGGAAAACAAAAAGTTGGAGGATTCATATTAACTTGGCTTCAAGACTTTTTTTTTTTTTTTTTAATTTTTTATTTTGAGACAGGGCTTCACTCTGCTGCCCAGGCTGGAGTGCAATGGCACCATCTCAGCCCACTGCCACCTCCGCCTCCCAGGTTCAAGTGATTCTTGTGCCTCAGCCTCCCAAAATAGCTGGGATTACAGGCGCGTGCCATCGTGCCTGGCTAATTTTTATATTTTTAGTGGAGGCAAGGTTTCACCATGTTAGCCAGGCTGTTCTCGAACTCCTGACCTCAGGTGATCCGGCCGCCTCTGCCTCCCAAAGTGCTGGGATCACAGGCATGAGCCACCACACCCAGTTCAAGAATTCTTATGAAGGCACAAGGCAGTGTGAAATTCGGGAAGAGAGAGAGACGCATAGATTAATGGAACAAGAATAGAGTCTATAAATAGACCCACACTAATATAGCAAATGGATTTTTGATGAAGATACAGAAACAGTTCAATGGAGAAAGGACAGTCTTTTCAACAAATGGTTTTGGAGCACTAGACATCCATATGCCAAAATAAGAACCTTCACCTAATCCTTACTTTAAAAATTAACTTAAAGTGCATCATAAATCTAAATATAAAATTTAAAAACAGTAAGGCTTTTAGGAAAAAATATAAGGGAAAACTTTTATGACCTTGGGTTGAGAAAATTGTTTAGATATGACACCAAAAACATGATCTGTACAAGAAAAAGTTAGGCCAGGCACGGTGGCTCACACCTGTAATCCCAGAACTTTGAGAGGCTGAGGCGAGCAGATCACCTGAGGTCGGGAGTTTGAGACCAGCCTGACCAATATGGAGAAAGCTGTCTCTACTAAAAATACAAAATTAGTTGGGTGTGCTGGTGCATGCCTGTAATCCCAGCTACTCAAGAGCATGAAGCAGGAGATTCACTTGAACCCAGGAGGTGGAAGTTGCATTGAGCTGAGATCGTACCATTGCACTCCAGCCTGGGCAACAAGAGTGAAACTCCATCTCAAAAAAAAAAAAAAAAGAAAGATCAAGTTGGTAAGTTGTACTTCATCAAAATTTGAAACTATTGCTCTGTGAGATGTATTATGAACAGAATGGGAGAAAATGTTTGTAAATCCCATACCCGACAAAGGACTTGTATTAAAAATATATAAAGAAATTTTAGAAAGTAAACAACTCGGTCAAAAAATGAGCAAGATAGGCCTGGCACTGTGGCTCACTGCAACCTCCACCTTAGAGGCCTATTACAATCGGCCTGTAATCCCAGCACTTTGGGAGGCTGGGGCGGGCAAATCACGAGGTGAGGAGTTCAAGATCAGCCTGGCCAACATGGTGAAACCCCATCTCTACTAAAAATACAATATTAGTCAGGTATGGTGGCGGGCGCCTATAATCCTAGCTACTTGAGAGGCTGAGTTAGGAGAATCCCTTCAACCTGGGAGACAGGTTGCAGTGAACCGAGATCATGCCACTGCACTCCAGCCTGGGCAAAAAGAGTGAAACTCCATCTCAAAAATAAAAATCTTTAGACACTTCACCAAAGAAGATAGATGGATAGCAGATGAGTCCCTGAAAAAGTGCTCAACATCACAGTCATCGGGAAGTGCAAATTCACATGACAGTGAGATACTGCTACCACCTACTTAAATGGCTTTTAAAAAATACTGACAGTAGATTGGGTGTGGTGGCTCGCACCTATAATCTCAGCACTTTGGTAGGCCAAGGTGGGTGGATCACGAGGTCAAGAGATCAAGACCATCCTGGCCAAAATGGTGAAACCTCATCTCTACTAAAAATTTAAAAATCAGCTGGGCGTGGTGGCGCATGCTTGTAGTCCCAGCTGCTCAGGAGACTGAGGCAGGAGAATTGCTTGAACCTGGAAGGTGGAGGTTGCAGTGAGCCGAGATCGCTCCACTGCACTCCAGCCTGGGCAACAGAGCAAGACTCCATCTGAAAAATAAATAAAACATTTAAAAATTTAAAAAAAAATAGTAATAGTAAATACTAACAGTACTAAATGCTGTCAGTATTTAGAAGAATGAAGAGCAACTGGAACTTATACACTGCTGGTGGGAATGTCAGATGGAACAGGGAAACTGTTTGGCAACTTCTTAAATGGATAACACTTGCCATAAATATACCCTTAACCACTCATAGATATTTCCCTAGAAAAGTGAAAACTTAAATTCACACAAAAATCTGCACGTGAACGTTTATAGCACCTTTATTTCCAATTACCCAAAACTGGAAACAATCTACATGATCCACAGAATAAACAAACTGTGGTGCCTTTGTACATTTGCATACCACTCAGCAATTAGAGGGAACAAATTATCGATCCATGTAACAATGTGGATGCATTTCAAAGGCATTATGCTGAGTAGAAGCCAGTCTCAAAAGATTACCTATTTTATGGTTTTATTTATGTGACTTTATGAAAAAGGAAATTTTTCAGAAATTGAAATTTCTGATTCTGAGGTTAGTTTAAGAAAACAGAAGGCCAGTCCAGGTGGCTATAGATTTACAGAGCATTAGCGTTGGAAGGAACTATGGTATTTGGATCTGGCCCTTTTTCAGTTGTTTTTGCATATGATAACTCAGGCCCTAAATTTCCATCTTTTCCTCAATTGCTGAATTTTCTAGCTAAAGTTTTCCAGGTAGTTAATTGGACTTTTGACTTCTCTTTTCTTTACTTTTTTTGAGACAGAGTTTCTCTCTGTTGCCCAGGCTGGAGTGCAGTGGGGCAATCTTGGCTTACTGCAACCTCCGCCTCCCGGGTTCAAGTGATTCTCCTGCTTCAGCCTCCTGAGTAGCTGCGATTACAGTTGCCTGCCACCATACCTGGCTGATTTTTGTATTTTTAGTAGAGACGGGGTTTCACCATATTGGCCAGGCTGGTCTCAGACTCCTGACCTCATTATCCGCCCACTTCGGCCTCATAAAGTGCTGGGATTACAGGTGTGAGCCACCATGCCCAGCCTCGACTTTCTTTTCTCTATCTAGCTGTAACTTATTTTTTTGGTTTTCAAAGTAAGTGCTAAAGCATAAAGATATAGATTCACTTTTTAGTATTCATGTTTCAATAATATGAGCTCTCTTATAGAATGTTCCGTATGACTCTGTTTTCTTTAGGCAAATTACAAAAAGAAGGTGCTTTATCACGCGTATCTGACGAAAGTCTCAGTAAAGTTCAGGAAGCAGAATCCCCAGTATTTAAAGAGCTACCTGGTGCCAAGGCTAATGATGACAGCACCATCCCCCTCACTGGGGCAGCAGGGGAGACGTCAGGGGCCTTGGAAGGCACCTCCACGGGCAGCCACCCTCGGGCTGCATATGGTAAGATGTGCCTGGAGAGCTGGGGTTCTGTGGCAGCACAGACATGTTCCTCCAGGGAGGACCACCTGGGCCTGGCTGTGGGCAGTCTGGTTTTAATGCACAAAAGCATCCCTTGCTTTTATGATTTGAGAAAACCCAGAGGCTAGGGTGGCCTCAGGAAACCATTCCACAGTCAGCAGAGCAGTCTTAATCTGGGCCTGTGATTTCCTCCAAGAGCAGTTTATAGTGGCGCTGGGGCCACATACCACATGTCTCACCAGAGGGGCTGGGGCCATGCACTGTATGTCTATGCTGCACCCACTCAGTACACATGCAGATCTCCATGCCCTAGGAGTTACCGAATTGCTGAATGCTGGTTAACCCAGCTTACCATGGAAGTTGCAAAGAGGAAGCTAAATTTGTAACCAAGAAGGTGGTCTCGCCATTGAATCACAGAAACCAGAAACCTTAGAAAACGTCCAGACTGGCCAGGCACAGTGGCTCACGCTTGTAATTCCCAGCACTTTGGGAGGCCAAGGCAGGTGGATCACCTGAGGTCAGGAGTTTGAGACCAGCCTGACTAACATGGTGAAACCTGGTCTCTACTAAAAGTACAAAAATTAGCTGGGCATGGTGGCAGGTGCCTGTAATCCCTGCTACTCGGGAGGCTGAGGCAGGAGAATTGCTTGAACCCGGGAGGTGGAGGTTGCAGTGAGCCAAGATTGCGCCATTGCACTCCAGCCTGGGTAACAGAGCAAGATTCCGTCTCAAAAAAGAAAAGAAAAGAAAAAAGAGAACATCCAGACCATTCTGTGTCCTTTAGACTCTTAATGTTTTATGGACAGTGCCAGGGAAGCACAGCTTTGTCCAAGCCTGCCCCGGTGGCTGCCACCTCTGCAAGGTGGGTTCTGGCACCTGCCTGCCACAGGTATATTCTCAGATGTGGCCCAGAGAAAGCAAATTTGTTTTGCCTGATTTATCTCAGATACTGCCTTTGGCAGTATGACTGACCATTTAAGATGCACCTAGAAAATTAGCCAGGATGATGGTGCACATCTGTATGTAGTCCCAGATGCTTGGGAGGCTGAGGCAGGAGAACCACTTGAGCCCAGGAGTTGGAGTGAGCTATGATTGCACCACTGCACTCCAGCCTGGGTGACATAGCTGAGATTCTGCCTCCAAAGACAAAACCGAAACAGAAGCAGCTGGAATATCCACCTCACATGAAGTGGGTTTTGTCTTATGTATGAAGTTTTTCTAAGATGAATTTCTTAGTGCCAAGTGCCCTAGTAATTTCTGGAAGACACTTTTTAGGAGAAGTTAACATGTTTTGAAAATACCACATTATTAGTTTTGCCCTTTTGTTGTATGTTTTCACGTTTATTATTTTTTTAATGGTAACCATAGTACGTGTCCTTTACGGCCAACTTAGAAAAGATAGTGTATGTTAGTAAGTCATCCCCAGCCTTCCAGAGATAAGTGCCATGAAACAGTGGGGAGTGTTTCCTTACTTTATATTGGCAAGGCTGGAAAATGAGACCTTCTCTAACCCTTTTCAGGAAGGGCCCTGTCCATGACCCATGGCTCTGTGAAATCGCCTGTCTCTAACGGCACCTTCGGCTTCGACGGCCACACCAGGAGCGACGGTCACGTGTACCACACCGTGCACAAAGACTCGGGGCTCTACAAAGACCTGCTGCATAAAATCCACATCGACAGGGGCCCCGAGGAGAAGCCAGCCCAGGAGAGCAGCTACCGGCTGCTGCGCCGGAACAACAGCTACACCTGCTACACGGCGGCCATCTGCGGGCTGCCAGTGCACACCACCTTCCGAGCCGCGGACTCGTCGGCCCCGGAGGACAGCGAGAAGTTGGTGGGCGACACCGTGTCCTACTCCAAGAAGAGGCTGCGCTACGACAGCTACTCGAGCTACTGCAACGCGGTGGCGGAGGCGGAGATCGAGGCGGAGGAGGGCGGCGTGGAGATGAAGCTAGCGTCGGAGCTGGCCGACCCGGACCAGCCACGGGAGGACCCTGCGGAGGAGGAGAAGGAGGAGAAGGACGCGCCCGAGGTGCACCTCCTGTTCCATTTCCTGCAGGTCCTCACCGCCTGTTTTGGGTCCTTTGCTCACGGCGGCAATGATGTGAGGTGGGTGCATTCATTCGTTCATTCAGCAAGGGTCCCGGAGGCTCCGCCAGGCGCCAGCGCTGTGCGAGTGCCGGGATCCAGCCGTGAACGGCACCGATGGAAGCCCCTGCCTGGGGTAGGGCGCGCAGGCGGTGGACAGACCCATAAGTCAGCGTTGCGTACGGGACCGCGACAGCATTAGCAGGAAAGTAAAGTAGACGCAGGGCAGGAGCTGCAGGGGTGGCCGTGCGACCTGGGCTACTCGGGAAAGGGCGGGCCAGTGACAGAGCTGCAGGGATGGTCACGTGGCGTCCGCAGGAAAAAAAATGGCAGGTACGGGGGCTTGAGGCAGACACACACCTCTGCCCTCCAGGATGAGCTAGGAGGTCGCGCAAGGGGCCGAGCGGAGACCGTGCGTCTGCAGTTCGTGGATGCAGAGCGCGTGGCTAGTGGACACAGGAAGGTCTCACCCCAAGAGGGGAGCCGTGGAGCTGTGAGCTGGGGCCACGCAGGGTACGTTTGATAGGGGCACTGGCTTTTGGGCGACGGGCTGGACGTGGATGTGAGAGAAGAAGGAAAGAGGCTGATGCCGGACCGGAGCCGTGGCCTCGGCAAAGGCCAAGAGTGGAGCTGCCGCCTTTTAGGGACGACGCAGGCCCTGGACACGGCCAGTGCGCTATGCTGCTGTTCAGGCTGAGCAGGCAGCGGGCATGTGCGCCCGAGTTCAGGTCAGGCCAGGCTGGGTGCAGAGCAGGTGATTTGGCTGGAGGACCGATGGGGCAAGCAGCAGGAGGCAGAGCACCCGGACTGAGGAAACAGCAAGAAAGAAGGTATGCCAAACCAGGACGTGAGGAGAACTCACTAGGAGGTGATTTTATTTAAATTATTATTTCTTTTATAACGGAGTCTTGCTCTGTTCCCCAGCCTGGAGTGCAGTGGTGTGATCTCAGCTCACTGCAACCTCCTCCCCCCAACTTCAAGTGATTCTCCTGTCTCAGCCTCCCAAAGCAGCTGGGACTACAGGAGTGCGCCACCGCGCCCAGCTAATTTTTGTATTTTTAGTAGAGACAGGGTTTCCCATGTTGGCCAGGCTGGTCTTGAACTCCTGAACTCAGGTGATCCACCAGCCTTGGCCTCCCTAAGTGCTGGAATTACAGGCATGAGCCACCGTGCCTAGCCATCGTTCAGTAGCATCTTTAAGCCCAGTGAGAAGGCTCCGCCCCACTCATGGGCTCTAGTTCTCCCCACTGAATGGCGCAGCCGCTGGAGCTGCCGCCAGAGCCTGCAGGTCACTCCACATATAATGTCACAGACATCCTGCAAATAAGTGTGTAGGGACAGGGGCGGATATGACTCTCTAACCTTGACCCCACCCGCCCCACCCCACGCCCAGGCCCAGATGTAGGAAGCAGGGCAGCCTCCTAGGGCCCGAGAGCCCCAAGTTTGGGTCTCTGCTGTCTTCCTACAGCTGTGTAGACAAGTCACTTGCTTTTCTGAAGTCTCAGTTTCCCAATCTGTAAAATAGGGGAAAACAATTCCTAACCCTTCAGGCTTCCCCTGCGTAATGTGATGAGAATGGTGCTCCCAACTCGCTTGGTTTCTGTGCGTTTCTGCTCGTGGTCATGGTCAGCCCACTGACGTTTCAGGGGACCCTGCTGTTGTCATCTTCTGTTGCAAGCAGTGACTCCCCGTGGGCCGCGCACGCTGCCTCCCCACGTGCAGCTGCGTCTCTGCTCTTCATAAAAGAAATCTCGCTGCAGACGAGTGCACCTTTTATTCTGCTCAGCATCACATGGGCATTTCTGTGGTATTTTATTTGGTGTTTTCTTGGACACAGCGTGCTCTGTCCTATGTTAGTAACTTGGTCTGCCCCCACGCTGTCCCACTTCCTCCTCCTCAGCAAGCATTCTTTACAGAAGGCCTGGTACTGGCAGAGCGCTAGGAACTGGGTCCCTGTCCATTAGGAGTTTAAACACAGGGAGATGAGAAAAACATATCCATGGAAAAGTAACAACACAGTCTCACATTCACGCATTCAAACACACTCACATGTGCGCTCACACGGGCACACTCACACACATGTACTCACATACAACAGTGTTTCAGTTCAAAGAAAGCAACTAGGCAGTGGCTGCTCAGGGTGATTGTAGAATTCCGAGCAGTTGCTTGCAGCATGGGGACTGTTCTGGCTTTGGAGCAGGGAGGGCGTCTGGTAAAAGCACCATTCTAGAAGCCATCTGAGTGAGAAGAGGTGTCCATGCATTCAGCACGAGGCTGAGCCCCGAGGCCTCAGCACTGAGCTGCAGTGGCCTATCCCACCCTCCCTCTAACACCCCTCTAAGCCAGGGGCAGGCATCTGTCAGAAATGGAATCTGACAGGGTCACACAGAGAGACCGAAACCGACTTGGAAGCCAGTTCCAGTGACTCAGTGACACCCGGTCTACACAGCTCGCTGCAGGAGGAGAAAAGAGGCAGGGAAGCTCTTAAGAGCACCTTGGAGTCTCATGGGCTCTGGGGGCCTGACAGACATGATCAATGTAGGCACACACGGCAAGAGGGCCTGAAGGAGCCTGGGCCGTGCCCACTCTGCCACCTCAGAGGTGGAACCCTGGCCTCGGTTGCCTTGTCAGTAAGACGGGAGCCACAGTGCCCGCTGTGCAGGGTGGCTGTGGAGATGGATGCTTAGCAAAATATGGCACCCCATAGTATGGGGCCTGACAGTCTGTCCAAAACTGGCAGCTCATGTTAGCAGTACCAGCAGCAGGGGGTGACAGAGAAAATGGAAATTTGAGGAAAAAAGGAGAAAAAAATGAACTTGGTGGTTGTGTTGTGAACTTGGTTGTTTAAAAAATTAATTTTGGCCAGGCGCAGTGGCTCACCATACCTGTAATCCCAGCACTTTGAGAGGCCGACGTGGGTGGATCATTTGAGGTCAGGAGTTCAAGATCAGCCTGGCCAACATGGTGAAACCCCACCTCTACTAAAAATATTTAGTTGGGTGTGGTGGTGCGTGCCTGTAGTCCTAGCTACCGGGGAAGCTGAGGCAGGAGAATCCCTTGAACTCCAGAGGTGGAGGTTGCAGTGATCTGAGATCTCGCCACTGCACTCCAGCCTGGGCGACAGAGCAAGACTCTGTCTCAAAAAAAAAGACAAATTAAATTAATTTAATAGGCTGGGCATGGTGGTTCATGCCTGTAGTCTCAGCACTTTGGGAGGCCAAGGCGGACAGATCATCTAAGGTTGGGTGTTCAAGACCAGCCTAGCCTGGACAACATGGTGAAACCCCACCTCTACTAAAAATACAAAAAATAGCTGGGCCTGGTGGTGGGCCCCTGTGGTCCCAGTTACTCGGGAGGATGCGGCAGGAGAATCGCTTCAACCCAGGAGGCAGAGGTTGCAGTGAGCCGAGATTGGACCACTGCACTCCAGCCTGGGCAACAGAGGAAAATTCTGTCTCATTATGATAATAATAATAATAACAAATTACACACCTATTAGGATGGTTGCCATTTTTAAAAAAAGTAACAAGTGTTGTCAAGGACAGAGAAATTGTTACCCTGCGTGCTGTTAGTGGGAAGTAAAATGGTGTAACCACTATGGAAACCAGGATGGAGGCACCTCAGAAAATTAAACAGACCTCCCACCTCCCCCATGACTCAGCATTCCTGCTTCTGGGTATACATCCAGAAAAATTGAAAACAGTTTCTCAAAGAGACATTTGTACCCTATGTTCAAAGCACCACTATTCGCAATAGGCAAGAGGGAAGAGCAACCCAGATGTCCACTGACAGGTGAATAGAAACAAAATGTGCCTGTGCATGCAGTGGAATATTATTCAGCCTTAAAAAAGAAGGAAGTCCTGTCACCTGCTGTAACATGGATGAACCTGGAGGACATTATGCTAAGTGAAATAAACCATCACAGAAAGAAAAATACTGTATGGTTCCCCTTTTGTGAGTTGTCTGCAGCAATCAAATTCATAGAACTAGAAAGTGGTTGCCAGTTGCTGTGGGGAGGGGCCATGGGAATTTGAAGAGTGCAGCTTCACATTTGCAAGATGAACAAGTTCTGGAGATCTGTTTTACAACAATGTAAATATACTTAACACTGCTAAACTATAAATAAGAATGATTATGATGGTAAAGTTTATGATGCTTTTTACCAAAATTTTTTTTTAAATCATTTTGATCATGACTATATTATATAGGTGAACCTCAAATACACTAAGATGAGCTATGCTCAAGACAAAAGTCACCATGTACAGGAATACTTGGGAGACACTGCGGGTTCTGGAACATTTCAGACTACTACAATAAAACAAGTATCACAATACAGTGAGACACAAGATTTCTGGTGTCCCAGTGCATAGAAAAGTTATGTTTGTATATTACCATACTGTAGTGTGTTAAATGTGCAACAGTATTATCTCTAAAAAGCAATGTACATATCTTAATTTGAAAATACTTTATTGCTGAAAATAATGCTAGCAACCCTCTGAACATTCAGTGAATCATAATCCTTTTGCTGATGGAAGGTCTGGCCTTGATATTGATGGCTACTGACTGATCAGGGTGGTGGTGATTAACTGCTGGGGTGGCTGTGGCCATTTCTTAAATTAAGACAACAGTGAAATTTGCCACATCGATTAACTCTTCCTTTCACAAAAGATTTCTTTGTAGCACACAATGCACTTTGATAACATTTTACCTAATGTAGAATTTCTTTCAAAATTGGAGTCAATCCCATCACACCCTGCCTCTGCTCTATCAACTGAGTTTATAGAATATTCTAAGTCCTTTGTTGTCATCTCAGCAACGTTCACAACATCTTCACCAGGAGTAGATTCCATCTCAAAGAGCTTCCTTTGCTTATCCATAAGAAGCACCTCCTCATCTCCTAAAGTTCTGTCATGAGGTTGCAGTTTGGTCACATCGCCAGGCTCTACTTGTAGTTCTCTTGCTATTTCCACCACATCTGCAGTGACTTCTGTCATTAAAGTTTTGAACCCCTCAAAGTCATCCACGAGGGTTGGAATCAACTTCTTCCAAACTTCTGTTAATGTTGGTATTTTTACTTCCTCCCATGAATCACAGATGTTCTAATGGCATCTAGAATGGGGGATCCTTTCCAGAAGGTTTCAGTGGATGTCTCAGACTCATCAGAGGAATCACTATCTATGGCAGCTATAGCCCTACGAAGTGTGTTTCTTAAGTAATAAGACTTGAAAGTCAAATTACTCCTTGATCCATGGGCTGCAGAACGGATGCTGTGTTCACAGGCAGGAACACAACATTCATCTCCTTACACATCTCCATCAGAGCTCTCTGGTGACCAGGTGCATTGTCAATGAGAAGTAATATTTTAAAATATTAATATTTTTTCTGAGCAGTAGGTCTCAACAGTGGGCTTAAAATATTCAGTAAACCATGTGTAAACAGACAGATTTACTTTGCTACATTTCTAGAGCACAGGCAGAGCAGATTTAGCATCATTCCTAAGAGCAAGAGGATTTTTGGAATGGTAAGTGAACATTGGCTTCAACTAAATTTAGCCTCTGAGAAGAGAGTCAGCCTGTCTTTTGAAGCTTTGAAGTCAGGCATTGCCTTCTCTCTGGCTCTAGAAGTCCCAGCTGGCATCATCTTCCAATGAAAGACTGTTTCTTCTATATTGGAAATCTGCTGTTAGTGTAGCCACCTTCATCAATGATCTTAGCTGGATCTTCTGGGGAACTCACTGCAGCTTCTCCATCAGCACCTGATGCTTCACCTTGTACTTTCATGCTACAAAGATGGCTTCTTTCCTTAAATCTCCTGAACTGATCTCTGCTATCTTCCGGCTTTTCTTCTGCAGCTTCCTGAGTTCTCTCAGCCTTCACAGAATTGAAGAGAACTAGGGCCTTGCTCTGGATTAGGCTGTGGCTTAAGGGAATGTCGTGGCTGGTTTGATCTTCTATCCAGACCACTCAAACTTTCTCCATATCAGCAATATGGCTGTTTTGCTTTCTTATTATTCATGTGTTCATTGGAATAGCACTTTTAATTTCCTTCAAGATGCTTTCCCTTGGCACTCACAACTTGGCTAACTGTTTGGCCCAAGGGGCCTAGCTTTTGGCCTGTCTCTGATTTTGACATGCCTTCCTCACTAAGCTTAATCATTTCTAGCTTTTGATTTAAACTGAGAGACATGCAACTCTTCCTTTCAATTGAACACTTAGAGGCCACTGTAGGGTAATTTATTGGCTTAATTTCAATATTGCAATATCTCAGGAAATAGGGAGGCCGGAGGAAGTGGAGAGAGATGGGGGAGTGGCAGGGCGGTGGAGCAGGGAGAACACATCATTCATCAGTGAAGCTCACCGTCTCATACGGGAATAGTTCACGGTACCCCAAAACAATTACAGTAGTAACTTAAAAGGATCACTGATCACAGATCACTGCAACATATGTGATAGTAATGAAAAAGTTTGGGGTACTGTGAGGATTACCAAAATGTTACAGAGACATGACGTGAGCACACACTGCTGGAAAATCACGCTAGTGGACTTGCTTGATGTGGGGATGCCACAAACCTCCAATTTGTAAAAAATATCATACCTGAAGGCCGGGCACAGTGGCTCACGCCTGCAATTCCAGCACAGTGGGAGGCCAAGGTGGGCAGATCACGAGGTCAGGAGTTCGAGACCAGCCTGGCCAATATGGCGAAAACCCGTCTCTACTAAAAATACAAAAATTAGCTGGGCATGGTGGTGCATACCTGTAGTCCTAACTACTCGGGAGAGAGGCTGAAGCAGGAGAATTGCTTGAACCCAGGAGGCGGAGGTTGCAGTGAGCCGAGATCATGCCACTGCACTCCAGCCTGGATGACACAGCAAGACTCCATCTCCAAAAAAATTAAAAAAGAAAGAAGGAAGAAACATCATATCTGTGGAGTGTGATAAAGTGAAACAATAAAACAAAGTCACCTGTATCGTGTACGGTGCCGCTTGCATGTGTAGTTAATCTTTTTTCTTTTTATTTTTCCCAGTAATGCCATCGGTCCCCTGGTAGCCTTGTGGCTGATTTACAGACAAGGAGGGGTAATGCAAGAAGCAGCTACGCCCGTCTGGCTGCTGTTTTATGGAGGAGTTGGAATCTGCACAGGTCTCTGGGTCTGGGGGAGAAGAGTGATCCAGACCATGGGGAAGGACCTCACTCCCATCACGCCATCCAGGTAAGCCCGGGCCGGTGGACAGGGAGGGCAGGCTTGTCATCCGAGGCCTGGGTGGAGCTGCCCAGCTGTATCTGAATGGCCAGCTCAGCATTGGGTCCCTCCATGTGTCCCAGGCTCCGGCCACAGGGTCCCTGAGTGGGAAGGGACCCTGAGAGGGAAGGGCAGACGAGCATGGGTAGCAGAGCGGAGCAGGCAGGGAGGAGAGGAGAAGCCCACCCTCAGCCAGCTTGGGGGCCAGAGGCAGGTGGGCAGGGAGGGCACAGACTGCGGCAGGCCCAGGAGCCGATCCTTCCTGAACGTTCTCTGGCCATGCCAGCTCTCAGCGGCCACTCTGCTGGGGTTACCTTAGCTCTTGCTCTGCCAGACAGGGAGGCATCCCCTGCCATCGTGGGTGAGCTCTGGAGGCTTTAAATGTGGTCTGTCAACCACATAAGCCTTCAGCTGCATCAGGGGTTAAAGGAACTTCCAGAACTTTTAGAATACGACCAAAATTTGGAGCCATCTGTGATGGGAAATCTCTCTTGTTAAAGCATATGGGCCGGGCGCGGTGGCTCACGCCTGTAATCCCAGCACTTTGGGAGGCCGAGGCGGGTGGATCACGAGGTCGGGAGATCGAAACCATCCTGGTCAACATGGTGAAACCCCGTCTCTACTAAAAACACAAAAAAGTAGCTGGGCATGGTGGCGCGTGCCTGTAATCCCAGCTACTCAGGAGGCTGAGGCAGGAGAATTGCTTGAACCCAGGAGGCGGAGGTTGCGGTGAGCCGAGATCGCGCCATTGCACTCCAGCCTGGGTAACAAGAGCGAAACTCCGTCTCAACAACAACAACAAAAAAAGCATATGGGAGTTTCCTTTCCCTACAGGCTCGGGAGTTAAAGGAAGGGGACCAAGGGCAGCTGGGTGGGGAGGATCAGCACCCAAATCCCATCACACAGCTCTGCTCGACATCTGCAGAGAAAGCTAAAATAGCTCCAGGGAGCCTCCTATATACACACAGACTTTAAATTTCTAATTTTTGGTTCTCACTTGAAATTCATTTTAATAAAAGATAATTTGGAAGATTGGTTTGAAGAACAATTAGTAATCCGAGAGAAATACACTCTTTTGTAATAAGTGCGCATTTTAAAAATGAGAGCATAGCTTTTCCTTTTCCGTTTTAGAAATGGCTATCTTACTGCACAGCAGGAATGTCTGGCCACGTGACTGCCCTGCGTGGGCTTTAAAAAGATATCAGAAAGCCAGGCCGCTGGGGACCGTGGCAGGAAAGCGCAGCCTTGGTGCTGATTGAGCAGCCTCTTGTTCTGTTAAAGTCGATCTTGCCCAGTCAGCAGTCGGCAGTCATCCCCCAGAATGTCCTGGCGAGCCCCTGGCGCCCGCGGGGTGTCAGGGAGGCTGATAAAAGGGCGCCCGTGACGTGTCTCATGCTCCCCCCGCAGCGGCTTCACGATCGAGCTGGCCTCCGCCTTCACCGTGGTGATCGCCTCCAACATCGGGCTTCCGGTCAGCACCACGCACTGCAAGGTAGGCCCCTGCCAGCCGGGAGCCCTTCACCAAGCCGTTAGGATGGGTCCAAAGCCACCGAGCGCGCGCGAGGGAGGCGGTAGGGCTCTGAAGGTGGTTGTGCAAAGCACATCTCCAGGTTCTCCGCTTCCGCCGGAACCTTGTTTTCCTCCATCTGCCCCTCCAACGTCCTCCTGTCAGCAGGACGACACCATACCTCGTTCAGACCTAGTTTTTCCAAGGCAAAATGCCAGGGCTGGCCCACCTGGGACTGGCCTGCTGCCCTCCTGATTTCCACAGTGGAGTTTGATTGGCCCCCTGTGTGCTCTGAGCATACCCATGTGCTCACCTGGGAGCCTGCCACTCAGTCCAACCATTGAGGGGACTGGGGGTTGACAGTGGAAATAGAAATTAACAAAAATCATTTCCGTGGAATAGTTTCTGGTTTTGTTCCTTGTATGATGTTCAAAGTGACTCTATCGCCCTTATTTCCCCATGAGGGGTAATTGCTGATACTGACCACTGTGCCATGCTCTGAAACCTGGAGCTGGACAAGAGAGGGCTCCTGGCGGTGGTGAGGAAAGTTGGTGGTGAGGAACTCTGGGAGTTCCAGGGAGTGATCCACAGGCGGCCAGGGTGGGGAGGACCAGAACCCGGGTGTCACCACCCAGCTCTGCCCAGTATCTACAGATAGACACACTTCTCAAATAGCTCCAGTGAGCCTCTGTATACAGACACACTCACCAGTCTCAACTAAGCAAAAGTTCCTTCCAGATGTTTCCTAGGTTCATTTATTTGCATCATTCAAGAAAAACTCACTGGTGTTTGCTGCGTAGGGGCAGAGCTCTTGGCAGCAGGTGGAATACATGAGCCCTCATGACAGACACAGCCACCCACATTTATATTTACTCACAATTTTAAGATTCCAGCCATAAGTTTAAAAAAAAAAAAAAAAGCCTCCAAGCAAAGGCAGGCAGCTTCGTCCTTCAAACACCCAGGTCAGGTAGCCCTCCCAAGAGCATATGGAATGCCCCAACAGTGTGTTTCAAAGCTGGGGCTCTGTGCATAAAGAATCAGCCTCAGTGGAAAGAGGTTTTGTTTTTTTCCTTTTTTGCTATAATAAATGGCAACACTTCCATTTCCACAAAGCGTCTGTATTCATATCCTCCCACTTACTGATCATCAGGAAGTGCTGGGTACTATGCTCAGCACCACATGCATGGTGCGCCGTTCCCTCTCCACAGCAAGCCTCTGGGGTTGGAACTGTCAACTCCCAGTCCACAGGTGAGGAGACTGGGTTCCCTCAGAGCTGGGCCGCTTCCCACGGGCACACAGCCACATGTGATAGATGTAGGATTCAGATCTTTACCTCAGACCACACACCTCCTCATTCAGGTCCCCATCAAGCACCATCGTGGTGCCCAACAATGGCCAGGGTGGCTGAGGCAAGCACTCCACTGGCGCCGTGAACTCATGTTCTCCCCAAGAACCTTCCCCAGCTTCACAGATGAGGAAACTGAAGCAGAGGAAAGTTAAGTAACATGCCTGAAGTTACACAGCCAGGGAGCCGCCCAGCCGAGGCACCCACATGGGCGGCGTGGGCAGCGCCCTCCTCCCCGGCTCCACCTGGCAAGCACGGGGGAGGCAGGCAGGAAGAGGTGCGCCCACTACCCATTCATTGTGAGTTTCCTAAAGTGGGTTATTTAAAACTTACCAGAGAAGCACATATTCACTGAAATAAACAATACAAGACTATAGGGAATGAAAAGTGACATCTTCCCCGAACTCCTTATCAGTTCCATTCACTATGGTATGTAGGAGCATGGAGGAGACCCATGTCACTAAATACATTCTTTCCAAGGACACGGGCTTGTGACTTTCGTCAGTTGTCTTTTGGAATTGTTTTAAACAGGTGTAATGCCATCTTTTTAATGATTAACCCACCCTTAAGCAAGACTGCTGAAGGTAGGCAGACTCTTCCACACCAGTTGAAAGAGCTTTTCTTTTTTTTTGAGATGGAGTCTTGCTCTGTCACCCAGGCTGGAGTTCAGTGGCGTGGTCCTGGCTCACTGCAGCCTTTGCCTCCTGGGTTCAAGCAATTCTCCTGCCTAAGCATCCAGGGTAGCTGAGATTACAGGCATGTGCCACCACACCCAGCTAATTTTTATATTTTTAGTAGAGACGCGGATTCACCATGTTGGCCAGGCTGGTCTCGAACTCCTGACTTCACGTGATCTGCTCGCCTCAGACTCCCAAAGTGCTAGGATTACAGGCATGAGCTGCTGTGCTCGGCCTGAAAGAGCTTTTGAAAAACCAGCACACGTTTGGTTTTTCCAGCTTGCTGCTATTTCGCTGACTGTATGAGCAGTCTAATCCGTACGGATGTTTACTGTATACAGTGTTGGAATGGACAATACTGATTTCGCTAATAACACTAAACTATAGGAGTAGATGAGAAGTATAAAATGCTTATTTAAAAAGCCAAACTCTTAAATTCTCTTGACATGTGATTTCCCCAATGCTGTATTGATATTTATACTATAATAATGTGTAACTAAGAGATTTATATCCAGTGTTTACAGCGAATAGATATATATGTTATCATTATCCTAAGATATATGTACAAGCATGTGATACGTTTTGGTTTGGTTTTTTTTTTTTTTTTTTTTTTTTTTTTTGAGCTGGTGATAGGTAGTATTAGGATAGCTTGTTGGCACAAAAAGCAGGTCTTCCTGACATGGACCTGCAGTGGGGTGCCATATTTAATAGGTCACAACTTGGATTCTAGTCAGTTTGTCTGATATCACTGATCTCAGACTTCTGGATAAAGTCCAGAGCTAGTCCCTGTGAGCACTAAAGACACAGTCTTAGCTCTCAGGAGCTAGCAGTGCAGTTGGAGAGCAGATGGCTCTCGTCAGAGTCCAAATAATAGAAGTGCCGGGGAGAGTTCACAGTTGTCATTACCCGGTAATGCTTACTCTCTCATATCACATATTTCCCCTGCACACAACAGTCCCCAAATGGCAAATGTGGGATGAACTATGAGAGCCGTGGGATGGTGTGAAGAATGGGGCCCTCTGTGAGTGAGGCCATGAATCTGGAAACATTCAAAGGGTATTGATGTCCACATAGAGTCATAGTTGAATTGGATCAGTTTCAGGATAATTATCCCGTGTTTGACTTTTAAGTTTCTTGCTTAGAGCCATCAAACAGAAGGTAGGGAAAAACTGGGGACTTGGCAGGAAATAAGATGAAAACTATTGTTTAAAATGAGTTTTTGAATTTATCTAGGTAGATGTTATCGATGTAGGCCTCCTTCTAAGTGTAGATGGCTAAGTGCATAGATTTGTTTGAGACAGAGTCTTGCTTTGTCTCCCAGGCTGGAGTGCAGTGACGCAATCTTGGCTCACTGCAACCTGTCTCCTGGGTTCAAGCAATTCTCCTGCCTCAGTCTCCTAAGTAGGTAGGGTTACAGGTGTGCACGACCACGCTCGGCTAATTTTTGTATTTTTAGTAGAAATGGGGTTTTGCCATGCGAAATGGTGGCTCATGGCTGTAATCCCAGCACTTTGGGAGGCTGAGGTGGGTGGCTCACTGGAGGTCAGGAGTTCGAGACCAGCCTGACCAATATGGTGAAAACTCGTCTCTACTGAAAATACAAAAATTAGCCTGGTGTGGTGGCAACTGCCTGTAGTCCCAGCTACTCAGGAGGCTGAGACAGGAGAATTGCTTGAACCTGGGAGGCAGAGGTTGCAGTGAGCCAAGATCACACCACTGCACTCCAGCCTGGGTGACAGAGCAAGACTGTCAAAAAAAGAAAAAAAGAAAAGAAAGAAAAAAGGTATGTGGGAGTATGAAGAATTTGAACAGTTATTTAGAGCATCATAATTAATGAGTATGTACAAGTTTTTACCCTACTGATAATATGTCTTCCAGTCAAGCATCATGAAACATTTATAAATCCAAAAATCAGAAGACCATGGTAAAAATCCTGTAAAACTTTAAAAACAGGCCTGGTGTGGTGGCTCACACCTGTAACCCCAGCATTTTCGGAGGCTGAGGTGGGAGGATTGAGCCCAGAAGTACGAAACCAGCCTGGGCAACATCTTGACCTTGTCTGTATTTTATAAAAATTAAAATTTAAATTAAAAAAAAAATTTAAACATAGAAGTTTTTACTAACCATGATCTCTAATTACAATAAAATCAAACTAGAAATTAATTATATAACTGAAATAAGAATGTATCCCAGTGGAGACTTTTTAATGCTTTTTTAAGGTAACAATTGAATTAAGGAGTTTTAAAAAATACAATGATAGCTTTCTTGAAAAATAATAAAAACCACATGTGCGTGTCTGTGAGTGGATACAAATAGCAGAACCTGTGGCAAACCGAAGCTGTGCTAAGATGAAAATTCATATATATTTTTTTGGGGGGAGACAGAGTTTCGCTCTTGTCACCCAGGCTAGAGTGCAGTGGTGTGATCCCAGCGCACTGCAGCCTCTGCCTCCCGGGTTCAAGTGAGTCTCCTGCCTCAGCCTCCTAAGTAGCTGGGATTACAGGCCACCACCACGCCCAGCTAAATTTTGTATGTTTGGTAGAAATGGGGTTTCACCATGTTGGCCAGGTTGGTCTCAAACCCCTGACCTCAGGTGATCCACCAGCCTCAGCCTCCCAAAATGCTAGGATTACAGGTGTAAGCCACCATGCCCGGCTGAAAATTGATATCTTTAAATGGCTTAATTGATAAAAGAGAAAATAGAATAACCAAGTATTAAAATTAGGATTTTGTAAAAAGTCCAGGACAATAAAAACTGAGAAAACAGCTTGTAAGAAATATACTGTAAAAGCAAAATGAATTAAAAACAAAATAAGAAGGGGAGAGGACAGCGGCTACTAATAAAATATCAGATCACATCAAGGAAAAGAGGGAGGGAATTAAGTTAGGAAGGAGGAAGACATTGTAACAACAGATAGAGAAGAAAACTGTGGGGCCGGGCGCGGTGGCTCACGCCTGTAATCCCAGCACTTTGGGAGGCCGAGGCGGGTGGATCACGAGGTCAAGAGATCGAGACCATCCTGGCCAACATGGTGAAACCCCGTCTCTACCAAAAACACAAAAAATTAGCTGGGCATGGTGGCGCGTGCCTGTAATCCCAGCTACTCAGGAGGCTGAGGCAGGAGAATTGCCTGAACCCAGGAGGCGGAGGTTGCGATGAGCCGAGATTGCGCCATTGCACTCCAGCCTGGGTAACAAGAGCGAATCTCCGTCTCAAAAAAAAAAAAAGAAAAAGAAAATTGTTTCCATTGGTAAAGAAACCACACAGCTGTTTGCTAAGAATTTGAAAACCCCTGTGAATTATTTTCTGCAACAGCATACATGACAAAAGAAATACTGACCTGAGAAGTAGAAAAAAGTGGAAAATCTGACCCAGGACAATAGGGTGAAATTAAGGGAGTTCTCCAAAAACAATTGTTTTCACCTAAAAAAGCAAAAGGTGCTAGGGGTGGGGCGGGGGAAGATACTGCTGACTAGATGAATTCATTAGGATCTTTTTGATTTAAACAAACAAACAAAAAAACAGCTCTTACACGATATAAACATAATATATAACATAAGAGGAAAAAACAAAACTAGAAAACCTCTCCCATTTGTGCTATAGCATTCACTGAATAATCCTAATACCAACCTAATTTAAAATATTACAAACAATGAAATCTATGTTTACCTATGAATATTAATTGTAAAAATCTTCAAGCAAGATGCTGATAAATGGCATCAACAATATTTGGCCAGGCAGAGTGGCTCATGCCTGTAATTCCAGCCTTTTGGGAGACCAAGGCGGACAGATCACCTGAGCTCAGGAGTTCAAGACCAGTCTGGCCAACCTGGCGAAACTCTGTCTCCACTAAAAATACAAAAATTATCCGGGAGTGGTGGCAGGTGCCTGTAATCCCAGCTACTAGGGAGGCTGAGGCAGAAGAATCGCTTGAACCGTGGAGTAGGAGGTTGCAGTGAGCTGAGATTGCACCACCGTACTCCAGCACTTTGGGAGGCCGAGGAGGGTGGGTTGCTTGAGGTGAGGAGTTTGAGACTAGCCTGGCCAACATGGTGAAACCCTGTCTCTACTAAAAATATGAAAATTACCCAAGGGTGGTGGCGTGTGCCTGTAATCCCAGCTACTTGGGAGGCTGAGGCCGGAGAATCACTTGAACCTCAGAGACAGAGGATGCACGATCTCTCACTTGAGCGGAGACCATGCCACTGCGCTCTAGCCTGGGCGACACGGCAAGACTCTGTCTTGGGGGGGTGGGGGGGAAACTATGTAAAGAGCTATATGCTGACGAGAAGAATCCGCAAACAATTCTACCTAAAATCTAAGCTATTTTAAAAGCTGTAACAAATGTAGGGGACCGGGTAATGCCATACTAGAGCTTGTTTCTGAGACTAGCCTGTGTACATTGGTTGAGTGTAGACTTTGTGGCTCACCTGTTTTTACTTTGCAATGTCTGTGCTCCCACAGGTGGGTTCGGTGGTGGCGGTGGGCTGGATCCGCTCCCGCAAGGCTGTGGACTGGCGCCTCTTTCGGAACATCTTCGTGGCCTGGTTTGTGACTGTCCCTGTGGCCGGGTTGTTCAGTGCTGCTGTCATGGCTCTTCTCATGTATGGGATCCTTCCATATGTGTGATTTGTCTTCTTCCAGCTGCAAACAGCTAAAGGGATGGTCTGGTGTGGGCATGTGGGAGACACACGTGCCCTCTTGCCGCACACACACATCCTGGCCGTGCATGGCTCTCTCCTGACCAGCTCTCCACCTCCCTTCCGGGAGGCTCCATCCCACACTGTTCACCCAGGCTGCGGAGACTCACCTTCCCGAGCTAACTTAACTACTGTACATAATAATATGTATTAAACTGGTATCGTGGTGATATAATGTGGTGCAATTACTTATATATTAAATATCTATTGTATCCATAGAATAGGTAGCGTTATTTCAAGAGTGGAGATCATTGCCTAGAAGTCAATATTCAATAAATCTTGTACATAGCTATTTCAATAGCAAATGTTAAGCCTTTAAAAGGAAAGTGTAGATTGGAAAATAATTTTTTTCCAAATGATGTTTTTCCCTTCTAATATACTGTAAGGTAACGAGCTTCAGGACAGATGACACGACCCATCAGAGGCCACATGCTGTGGGATGACAGCAGGACGGGAGGTCACAAGTGCTTTCACTGAAGATTTGTTCATATACTGTGTATTGATTCTTGTGTAATATATCATCATTGCTTTTGTAAATACGTAAAACTGTAATTTTTTAATGGTGTGCTTCCCTTATACTTTTTTGATCAGAGAATTTTGGAAAGTACCAAAGAAGCAGGGGAATCGTTGGCCAGTGTTACATTTTCACGTTGTCTGTCTCACCCTCACTGATCATACCCGCCCCGGAGCAGCGTGTGGCGGCGGCACCGTCACCCAGCATGCGCCACACCGTGGCTCCCACCAGCAGTGCCGCTGCCGCCACCACCACACACCAGATCCCGCCCACCCTGCAGTGGCCTTTCCTTGTCATCAGAGTAGAGAATGCACAGGTGTCAGTGAGGGCGTGCGGCTGAGCACTACATGTCAAGTCCAGTGTCAGTTTCCATCCCAGTTCTCCTTGCAGCCCGAAGAACGGATCCTCGTCTCAAATGTCAGTGCAAAGGAGGCTTTTTCAGTGCATTGACATTCTAGCAGTTCAGGGACAGGAGGGAGGGGGAATGTTGGACACTGATGGAACATTTCTCTGAGGCCCACGCAAAGCTGGACACCAGGCTCTACTCTAGCCCATTGGAGTCTTCTTTTTTGATAGCGGGAGGGAGGAGGTGCGACTAATGTTGGAGCCTGAAACTATGGAAATGCTGCTAAAATTTTTATATTGACAAACATTTTCTTGGTACTTCATTGTGATTTTTCATTAATCAACCATATTAAATTTATAATAAAAAATGCCCCTCAGAAGTTTGCCTCTGAAGCATTTTTCTCAATACTGATATTTTTTTCTTTCAGAGTTTCCACAAAAAACAGAAGCTACCTAATTTGGTCGTTGTATCCTTTGTTGGTTTCCCTTATTTGACTACTGTTATGGGTTTGTACAGAAAACACACGTGAGGAGGAAATGGAGGCACGGTGTCCCCACACCACACTCAGAAACCCGCAGTCTTGGGAGGCCGAGGTGGGTGGATCACGAGGTCAAGAGATCGAGACCATCCTGGTCAACATAGTGAAACCTCGTCTCTACTAAAACTACCAAAAAAAATTAGCTGGGCATGGTGGCGCGTGCCTGTAATCCCAGCTACTCAGGAGGCTGAGGCAGGAGAATTGCTTGAACCCAGGAGGCGGAGGTTGCGGTGAGCCGAGATCGCACCATTGCACTCCAGCCTGGGTAACAAGAACGAAACTCTGTCTCAAAAAAAGAAAAAAGAAACCCTCAGTCAGTAGCTTATGGAGTAGTGGGTTGCCATGTTCTGGGCTGAGGACTGAGTGGGGAAGTGCAGGTCTTATCCTTTGCTCAAGCAGCCAGAAACACCTCGACTTGCAGCTTCTGGAGGCCCCGAGGGAAACCTCTTAATCCTCTGCAGCAGCCACGGCTCAACCTCTGACTCCCTTACGAGCTGGGAAGGAAATGGATGAGGCAAAGTGGCAGGTGCAAAAAATGCATCTCCACTAAGAGCACAGCCCTTTCTGGTGTTTAAATGGCACCTTAAGCCCTCCAGTGCCCCACTTCAAGAAAAGATCGATTTTCCTCCCAAATCTATGTAAGTAACAGCACAACACAATGCAGGCGAACTTTGTGCAGCCCAGTCTGCGGGATTCAGGCAGAGATGCACTCACCACCCGTCCTGGGAGGAGGGCTGCCACCTGGGAGCCCCGCCCGGCTCCTCAGGCAGGACGCTTCCCGGGGTGAGAGGGGGCTTCCCGGGGTGAGAGGGGAACGGGCCACACTCACCACGTTGAGCACTCCTGTGACTGAACACAGGCGCCCAGTCCACCTGGCCGGCCAATCCCCCACAAGGGGAGTCACGCCAGCTGGGACCCCTGCCCCTGAAAAGAGGCCCCCGTGGGTGGTTGAGGGTGCTGCAAGACACAGGCAGGGAAGCAGAGTGCCCGGGAGCCAAGTGAGGTGGTGGGAGGGTTTGGTCTGCTGAAGCCGAGCATGGAGCATCTCCAAGCCAGAAGGAATGCTGGCAGGGGCTCCCTGTCTTGGGCCACCAGCCCACAGTTCTACCCAGAGAATCTTGCCTGAGTTCACCAGCCTCTTCCTCTAATAATGCAGAGTCCTCAGAGGGAACCTGGCCTGTTGCCATGAGATTCTGTTCACGAGACCCTTTTACTCCACCTGAGAGAACTGCCAGGGAGGCCTGGAGACTCCTCCCTCTCCTGCTGTCTGGGCTCTTCTGAGTGGGCAAAGTCTGGATGCTATCAGAGGAGTTTGAGCATGCTCAAGCGATTTCTACACCGCAGCCTCCCCAGTAGCTGGGATTACAGGCACCCGCCGCCACGCCCAGCTATTTTTTTTTTTGGATTTTAGTAGAGATGGGATTTCACCATTTTGCCCAGGGTGGTCTCAAACTCCTGAGCTCAGGTGATTCACCTGCCTCAGCCTCCCAAAGTGCTGGGATTACAGGCGTTAGCCACTGTTCCTGGCCATTAGTAAACTTTTGAGCAAATATCTAAACACAACAGATTCATTTTCAACAAGATAATTTTTAAGCTCTCCCCACATCCCCTTCTTAAAAGAAGCTGAATTTGAATTCTGAAGCAGTAGTGATCTCAAGCTGCAGAATAAAAATGTTAAAGCAGCATCGTTAGGATGACAAGTAAAGACCTCTGGCCTCTGGGTTTATTTGATGACAAAGCGAGGTGGTGAAAAGGGCCTCTGAGGAGCTCTCGCAGTGAGTTTTGAGGCGTCCCGGGCGAGGCTGTTGCTGGACTGCCCTCACCCATGGGAGACCACGCTTGCTGGTGCCTTTCAGGCTTCTGGAGTCTGGCAGGACCAGGTTCAGAGTTCAGCTCCTGCTTTACTGACCCTGGGCCACTTCCATCGCTCCTATTAGAGCCAATTTTCCTGTGTTCAAAATGGGCAAAGGGACCCTCTCCCAGGAGTGTGAGGATCGGGACATCGGCATGAAAAAGGGATCACCCCAGGGCCTGGCCCCAGACAGGGGCTCCCCAAGCAAGCATTTGTCCCTCTCTTGTGGGTGAATCCCTTATTTTTATGGGTGATTCCCCCCAGGAGGATGGCTCTCAGGAGAGCATTAATGGGATGATGAGCAAAGGGAACAGAAAACAGACCACAGTTGAACAAAACCACTAGAGACAAGGTCGCTAGTGAATGGGTTCTCTGCATGCTTGATGGGGGACCAGGAGACCTGGAGAACGTGTGGGCAGTGGAGCTCTGCTCTTGGATTAACTGTCACCCTCTTAAATATTTTTATCCTTTATTGTGTTGAAAAAAAAAAAAATAGGCCAGCCGCAGAGGCTCATGCCTGTAACCCCAGAATTTTGGGAGGCCTAGGTGGGCATATCACTTGAGGTCAGAAGTTCAAGACCAGCCTGAACAATATGGTAAAACCCTGTCTCTACTAAAAATACAAAAAAAAAAAAAAAAAAAAAAAAAAAAAATTAGCCGGATGTGGTGGTGTGCGCCTGTAGTCCCAGCTACTGGGGAGGTTGAGGCAGGAGAACCGCTTGAAACAGGGAAGCAGAGATTGCAGTAAACCAAGGTAGAACCATTGGACTCCAGCCTAGGTAACAAGAGTGAAAAACAAAAACCCAAAACAGTAAAAGCATGACTCATATTTTGAAAAAAAAAGTCACCTATATCCCACCATCCCGCCACCACCCTTCTGAAACATTTTCATTTCCCCTCCTTTTTTTTGAGACCCAGTTTCTCTCTGGTTGCTCAGGCTGGAGTGCAGTGGCGCCATCTCGGCTCAACGCAACCTTCGCCTCCTGGGTTCAAGCAATTCTCCTACCTCAGCTTCCTGAGTAGCTGGGATTACAGGCATGCGCCACCACGCTCAGCTAATTTTGTGTACTTTTAGTAGAGACGGGGTTTCTCCATGTTGGTCAGGCTGGTCTCAAACTCCCGACCTCAGGTGATCCACCCGCCTCAGCCTCCCAAAGTGCTGGGACTACAGGTGTGAGCCACCATGTCCAGCCTGCATTTCCCTTATTTCACTGGATCTTTGAAACACCTGGAGCTGGCTGGCCACGGCAGGCACAAAAGCCCAGAATGAGAAAATGCTTCGGGGCCAACCCATACGGGGCCAGGGCAGGCCCCAGGCTTCCTGACCTTATCTGGAGGCTTCCAGTTCAGCAGCGGCCAGGCTGGTCCACAGCTGTGGTGTCCATAAAAGGGGCTGTGCGTAGGCCCGTGAGGAAGTTCCAGGAAGGAGAGCTGTGAGAGGTGATTAGGAGCTTGGAAAGGAAGCCTAGGAAGAGAGGGTGAGGGCTCATTCCACCTGTTTCTATAAAGGAAACACGAGAATTCAATACGATTTTACATGAAGAGTTTCAGACTCAACAAGGATGACCATCTGCTCTCAGTGTGGCTAGAACAAAATCTACTTACACAGCAAAAGGGATTTTGGACGGAGTAACATTGTTCCTTGCTTTTCCCAACACTTGCCATTTAGAGGTTAAACCAGACCCTGAATTTAGAGACTGCAATGAATGGTGGGGAGTAGGGCAAAGAGGTCAAAGCGGGGCTTAAAGGGCTCCAGGCAGAGAGCACGACCAGGAAGCTGTGGGCATCTCTGTTTGGCAGCAGTAACAGCGGCACCTGGTGGGGTCGAGTTTAATTGCAACTCCACTACCCCATTTCCAGGCCTGGACGCTCTCCCCAGGTGGACCGCCAGATCCCAGGGAGGAGCCGGGCCGACGGCGCCTACACAGCGCGGGAATGCTGTGCCCCGTCTTTAACGTTTCCTTCCACGTGACTGGATCCCATTTGGGATCTACTTTTGCTTCCTACACCCTTTAATCCTCTCCGCCAGACAAAGGAGTGTATTTCATAAGTGCGTTGGGGAAGAAGGAACTGGGCTGTTGGAGTCAGCCCCCATCAGAGCACAGGGACCCCCAACCTCCCACCCACCCCGCGCCGTCTCCTCCAGGCCAGCCAACCTTGGCGGGAGGGAAGGCCTGCCCGGCCCGACTCTGCCAGTGACTCACTCTAAGCCACAGCCTCACCAGGCCTTTCCCAGTAGGAAAGGCCATATTCATGACGGTCTATCCAGTCACACCCTAATTTACATTTTTTTTTTGTTTGTTTTGTTGTTTTTTTAAGAAATGGGGGTGTCTTTAGCCCAGGCTGGTCTCGAACTCCTAGGCTTAAGGGCTCCTCCGGTCTCGGACTCCTGAAGTTTTAGTATTCCCAGCGTGAGCCACCACGCAGCCACAATTTGTTCAAAGCTTGGCAGGGCCTGCAGCACGAGGAAGGGCGCGCGGGGTCTGAAAACACCCCTCACGCTAACACACACGCCTGCACCCAGAAACGGGCTGTGGGTTACAAGGGAGGTAGTACCTGAGCGCCAGCACTGGTGTGGTGGGCAAAGGAAAAGGGGCTCTGCTTCTCAAGGGCAGCCAAGGAAGCTGCATGCGGAAGGCCGGGCTTGGCGTGGGGACCACGTGTGTTTACAGAGAACGCTCAGGGCGCCGCTCAGCTCCAGCCCTTTCCGGCGTTAGAAGCTGAGGCTCAGAAAGGTAACAGGGAGCCTCGGAGGACAGGCACAGGAAGCCAGACGGAACCGCAGGACAGCACCATCCTCCTCCGTCCCTCGAGCAGACCCTCCGCATAGGACAACGGTCAGCGAACCGCTACAACATCCCAGTCACTTGCGGGGTAATTCGTATGTAAAATAAGATGCATTTACTTAACATTTGGCTCACGCCTGTAATCCCAGCACTCTGGTAGGCCAAGGCGGGTGGATCACCTGAGGTCAGGAGTTCGAGACCAGCCTGGCCAACATGGAGAAACCCCGTCTCTATTAAAAATACAAAAATTAGCCAGGTGTGGTGGGGCATGCCTGTAATCCCAGCTACTGGGGAGATTGAGACAGGAGAATCGCTTGAACCTGGGAGGCAGAGGTTGCAGTGAGCCAAGATCACACCACTGCTCTCCACCTGGGTGACAGAGGGAGACTCCTCAAAAAGAGAAAAACCCCATGCTTGTTAGTCTCTTACCACAAGCAACTCCCGTCCTCCTGTGTCACTCTCCATGGGGGGAGCCTCGCTAAGGGCGGAAGCCGGGACTTCTAACCCGGCCCAGAACCAGCTCCACGTGGGACGCTGGCCTGCCGTGCAGCGGTTGGGCCTCCACCTCCTCCAAACCACCAGTCCTAAGAGCTTTAGCCTGGTTACAGAAATAATGCGAAACTTGCTTTAGAAACCTGGAAAAGTATACAGTAAATAAGGATGTTTATAATTCCACCTTCCTGAGATTATGAATATTAACATTTCAGAACACTTTCTTCTGTATTTGCATTCACATTTAAAAAAATAATATATTAATACAAACCTAGAGGGATATCCTTTTCGTCCACTTCAGGCCATCAATACAAATAACTTTGCCCAAGAAACAATGAGGCCTCAGGGTTTCCCTGCTGCCCCTTCCTGTATGTCTTAAGAGTCTCACTCTTGTCACCCAGGCTGGAGTGCGATGGCAGATCTCGGCTCACCGCAACCTCCACCTCCCAGGTTCAAGTGATTCTCCTGCCTCTGCTTCCTGAGTAACTGGGATTACAGGCACCCGCCACCATGCCCCGCTAATTTTTGTATTTTTAGTAAAGATGGGATTTCACCATGTTGGCCAGGCTTGTCTCGAACTCCTGACCTCAGGTGATCCGCTCACCTCTGCCTCCTAAAGTACTGGGATTACAGGCATGAGCCACTGCGCCTGGCCAAGATACCCGTTTTAACGTTTTGTTTATATAAATAGATATTTACGTAATCTCTAACGACACTGAAACATATCTTAAAGGACATATCAAACTGTCAGTGGCAAAAGAAACAGGAATTAGAAAAATGAGAATTTTCAATTTACTTCTAAATTGAATTTGTTTAGAAACAAATTCAAACAGCAAACTGCATTGCTGTATTTTTTTGAAAAGAGAGTTTGAGGGAAAACCCACTCAGGAGCCCCTCTCTCCAGGAGAGAGCTTTTCTTTCCTCTTTTTCTCTTGCCTATTCAACCTCCACTCTTAAACTCATGTTTTGTGTGTCCACATCCTCGATTTCCTAGGCATAAGACAAGGAACCTCGGGTATTTACTCGAGGCAACAACACAGGTTCATTTCGGGGCCCCGTCCAGGATTGGAAAGTACATTCATCGGAAAGAACGTTGCTGCAGATGGAGCTACGCATGGACACACCTATTCTCCGAGGACCCTTCAATCAACCCCAGGAGGAGCCTTAACTGCTGTTCCCCACATGACACTCCTCTTCAGCAGGAAGTAGCCAGAAAGACTCATCTCCCAACACCCCCTAACATCAGTTAGAATTACCACTCCTCATAGGGGAAATGATACCGGAGCCTTATTTAGGCAGATAGTGAGGGTAAGAGAGTCCTTGGTAAGGATTCCTTTTAATAAAAAGCAGCCCCCAAATCCTTTCTAACAAAAAGCAGCTTGAAAACTCAAGCTGCAAGCACAGATAAGCAAGCTGGCAGTTTGCACAGGTAAATGCTGGCAGCTGTGCCAATAGGAAAAGACTACCTGGGGGCCACGCATGTTCAACATGGAGGCTCCCTCTTCCTTTCTGTCACATGTGCAGTAAAAAGGCAGGCAACATGGCACCAGCCAGGTAGAGACTCCATCAGCATGATAAAAGATCACAGTGGGACGGCCAGCTTCTTCGTGCAAACAGCACCTGGTCCCTTCAATCTCTCAGGCGCCATGTAAATCAGACACCACCTCCTCAGGCTAGCCTATACACCCTGTGCGTTTCATCATGAAACCGGAAGACCCACTCAGGAGCCCACTAGCTCTCTGCAAAAAAGATAGCTTTTCTCTGACCTATTAAACCTCTGCTCTTAAACTCAGGGGAAAGAAAAAAAAAAAAAAAAACTTTCAAAAGTTCTACTTTTAGGAAGATGATTTACCAGCGAGTCTGAGGATATTATAGTCTGCTCATTTCTCTAAACTCGTACTTAATTCCTTGGTTATCATTTTTCTATTCTAGTAATCAAAATCATGTTTCTGAAGCCCAGGAGGAGCCCGGGAAGTGTCCAACCAACTCTGGCCTCCTCCCACTGTCTCTCCTCCCATGCTCCCCAAATGGACTCTTCCCTCAACCATCTTTCCACATGCTCACACCCATCATTTCTCAGCAGCTGCACAGAACTCCCAGGGTGATGCAACCTGTCACACCATAAGCACAAGTGTGCTGCTCTCCAGCACAACCCCGCTCACTGCTTCCTCCCTCAGCCTGCCCATGAGAGCAAGAGAAGAGAAGGGGTCAGCAAACTGAGAGGGACAGGCAGCAGCCCCAATCATTTAGATACAAATCTCACCTGTGAAAGTGCTCCTTAAAACAAATCACATCAGGCTGGGTGTGGTGGCTCATCCCTGTAATGCCAGCACTTTGAGAGGCCAAGGCAGGTGGATCACAAGGCAGGATATCGAGACCATCCTGGCCAACATGGTGAAACTCTGTCTCTACTAAAAATACAAAAATTAGCCGGGCATGGTGGCGCACACCTATAATCCCAGCTACTCAGGAGGCTGAGGTAGGAGAATCACTTGAACCCAGGAGGTGGAGGCTGCAGTGAGCCAAGAGCGCAGCACTGCACTCCAACCTGGGCGACAGAGCGAGACTCCATCTCAAACAAAACAGAACAAAATCACATCAAAGGTAAGAAAACCACCAGCAAGTCGGAGGAGCAGTTATGTTCCAAATGTGATGGGTTTATTTTATTTTACTCTAATGCAAAACCAAAGATTGCACTATAGCAAAGAGACCAGTATATTACAAGGTCATGAAAAAATGGTGTGGGACATGCAGGACGTGATGTACAAATTGGAGGGTCAGAGCATCTCCTCTAACATGACACTACGCTGTCACTGAGGAACACATTTAGTAACACTGCAGAACTGAACTGAAACGTGGCACAAACATGACAACTTCCAAGCATGCCTTCAAGAGCCTCCCTCAGGATGGACTCACAATCCCTAGACTTCAGTGTGGGGAGGATTACAATTCTTTGGAAGAATAAAAAGTTCACACTTTTGAAATTTCACAGAAGAATTTTAAGGCCAAAACATAGTGGGTTTTCTCTTCACTTCCAGGGACAAATCTGATGCTTTCTTCAAACCACATTAAGCTTCCAGTTCAAATCCCAAGCCAACCTTGTGACCTCCTGCACTGAAGTTCTTTCCATCAATTAAAGCTGATAAGGTCAATTTGACTCCTAGGAAGAAGAAAACACCACAATCACTTCTAACAAGTATTACAATTAGATCTGAATGTTCTAGAAACAACAGATGGAATCAATGGCATGGACTGTAGCTGGGTATAAGAGTTATGAGCAAACAACTATTACTCAATCAGTTATTTATAACCATCGAATGTGTAATAAGGAAAGCATGATCATGGCAAACTTTCTCTGAAGTTCAGGGTTAAGGACAATGGGTGATCAACCAAATTCAAAGGCCAGAGTGACGACCACATTATAGTCAGAAATACACATTTTTTAAAATGCAAAAGTATTTGATTGTTTTGTTTCCTCTCTGAATAACCAAATGTTACAAAATGGTCTGAATCAACCTACAGTGACTAGTTTTGCAGGTCATTTTCATTTTTCCTCTATCACTTTCCACCCCAACCCCTGTGTTACTAATGCCTTTACTTACCTGGTCGAAGAGTCTGAGTATAACCCAGTCCAATCAGGCTGGCATTATTTACTTTAGCCTAAGATTGAGAGAGAATAACAGAAAACAGTGAATTACTTTGTGCATCAGGTTTCCAATGTTAAAAACACCCTAGATGCTAAAAGCCAATCTAGAAGTGCTGATTTTTTTTTTTTTAAGATGAAGTTTCATTCTTGTCACCCAGGCTGGAGTGCAGTGGCACAATCTCGGCTCACTGCAACCTCCGCCTCTGGATCCAAGCGATTCTCCTGCCTCAGCCTCCTGAGTAGCTGGGACTCCAGGCATGTGCCCCGACACCTGGCTAATTTTGTATTTTTGATAGAGACAGGGTTTTACCATGTTGGCCAGGCTGGTCTCAAACTCCTGACCACAGGTGATCCGCCCACCTCGGCCTCCCAAAGTATTGGGATTACAGGCGTGAGCCACTGCACCCAGCCAGAATTATGGATCTTTTAAGAAGTCAGTAAGATTGGTAGGGGTGGGAGGTACCTTGAGAATACATGCTTCAAGGCCTCAAGCAAAATTTTTAAACACTACGCAACCAAACACCCTGAATTCTCTGAGATACCAGCTGACAATCTCTCACAGTGGTTACAGAATGCACTCACTCAGGTGACAGAAAAAACAGATCTAGGTTCAAATTGTGGCACTGCCAGTTCCTGTGTGACCTTAGGCAAGTTAGCAGACCTTTCTAAGGCTCAGTTTTCTCATCTGTAAAACAGGGATGAGGGTAACACTACTTGCCAAATGGAGTGGGTGTGAGGATTAAATGAGATTATATATATAAAGCCCTTAGCACAGTAACTGAAATTTAAGAGCTCAGTGTTGTTTTCAGTAAGAGTTACTATAGGAAAAGAAACAGTCATCTAATTCCATGAATTTCCAAATAAGAATATTGAGGCCAAAGTGATAAAATGACTTGAGAAGGTCAGACAACAGATACATAGGAAGAGGTAGGACTAGAACCCCTATTTCCTGATTTCAAGCATAATATTCTTTTTTTTTTTTTTGAGATTAGCATCTTGCTCTGTCACCCAGGTTGGAGTACATTAGCATGATCTTGGCTCACTGCAATCTCTGCTTCCCAGGTTTCCGCAATTCTCCTGCCTCAGCCTCTCCAGTAGCTGGGACTACAGGCGTCTACCATCACGCCCAGCTAATTTTTGTATTTTTAGTAGAGACAGGGTTTCACCATCTTGGCAAGGCTGGTCTTGAACTTCTGACTTACAGGTGATCCACCCGCCTCAGCCTCCCAAAGTGCTGGGATTAAAGGCGTGAGCCACCGTGCCTGGCACATAATATTCTCACTACACAATTAGCTGGCTTACTAAATAAAGAACAAACAAACTACACTCATATCACAACATTCACTGAAAACTTAAGACACAAACACAAGAGCAGATCCAATCTGGCAGCACATTCTTACAGAGAGAGAAGTTCTACAATCCAGCTTGTATTTAGCAGCAATGCCAAAACGAGTG